GAAACCAAAGCAAAGCCCGGCCGTGACTGATTCTCTTTCCAAATGGCGTAAGCAGGCCAACTTCAAACATGTGAATAATGAGTTATCTGTGCTTGACTTTGTTCGGCACCAGAAGAGACGGTTCCTTCTAACATTTCCCCGCTGCTCCCTCCTGTGAACTCCCTCCTGGGCTTCGGCTTCTAGGGGTTGAAGTAGGGTTGGCACTCTCCAGGCTGCTGCCACTCGCCGGAGCTCGGGGGGCATCTCCGTCATCCTCCGTGGAGACGTCATGTGTGAGTCCCTCCCAGCTCCCGGCGCTGTGGGCAGCCTGGTTCCCATCTCCACACCGTCCTCCCCTCCCTCCTTCGCTGGCCGTGGGGTTTCACCAAATTCTCCTCGGCTGGGAATTTCCCGTGGTGAGTCCAGAGCAGGAGGTGGGATTCCAGGGAAAACCTGAGGGGTGTTCATGCCTTGTGTTATAGGTGTGCGAAGATGAAACCACCCCGACATGTGCTGTAAGGGACAGGCCTGCTGTTCCCATAACACAGGCGTTTCACATGTGGCTTCTTTCTGGAGCACATGCTGGGACTTGATAGTCTAGTCGAGACTCAGACTGGGAAAAAATTCAACCCTCTGTAGAGGATTGGCGTGTCTCTCTGAAGTACCTATTTTGAGGGCTATAAGAGGGATTTGAAAGGTGTTTTGCACATTGAGACGGAGTTTTAGCCACTGCTGATTGCTTTCTTGTGGTCCATTCTCACGGACATGTAGAGACTAAGCCACGGGGTTGTGTGTGTGCAGGGACTGCTCCTGGTGAGCTCCTGCTTGGCTGAGCCCTGGAGTTTGACTGTGAATATCTGAGCAGAGCCTTGGGTGGAGGATGGTGGGATCATGCTGGTGGGATGTTTGGAGCCTTGCTTTGGAGGTGGATGAGTGGGGCCTCTGTGGCTGCTGATGACTTGAGCTGATGTCCCAGCTCGTGTTGCCATCTCCTGGTTCTTGTCTCTTCCTCACTGAAGCTAAGGAAATTATCTGCAAATGTGTGTGTTAATGAACATCCCCCAGAGCTGAAAAGCTCCGTGTTTCCTTCGCTCCATCTTGCCGCCAGCATTTCGCAGCAAGACTCCTGGGGAGGGCCAAGCCACTTCCCACCATCTGCTCTCCCATCCCTTGGTAGCAAAGGGCTGTGCCAGGGGATGGGGACAAATGTGACACCCAAATCTGAACCCACCACAGGTGGAGAGGAGGATGTACAGCTCCTTATCTCTCATGACTGAACAATGAAACAGATAAATCAGGGTACCATGACCCTCAGGCACCCCGGAGAGTGTTTTTTCAAATCAAATTTCTCTCTCAGATTTTGGCACCACTCAAGTTCCTGAAGCCCCTTTCTACCTTTGATCAACTTTATATTCTGCATCTCAGTAATCTGGGGAAATAAGCTGCTTTTGGTGAACACTGTGGAACTCCCTCCTGCACTGCCTGGAAACCCCATCCAGGTCCCAGCTTGGGAAGCCACATCAGGTTGCACACTCCTAGAAGGAAGAGCAGGGTCTGTTTGGTCTTTGTAATGTTTTAATGCAGAAAGCATGTCTTTAAATCATAGCTTTGAGCGCCTGGGCTGCAGTGTGGCACACACTGTTTCGCTGTCTGCATTCCAAGGAAACACCCAAAACTTCCAGTATGCTTCTTATTACTGGCCTAAAGTGTCAAATTCACATCGGCTCTTCCAGCTGGGAAGTGTTCAATGGGATCGTTTGTTTGATGTGCTGATACAGATCTTGTTATTACATCAGGATCATAGGTGATCTGTCAATGTTTACATCATGTCATGTTCAATATCGGAGTTAACTGATTCAGAAACCCGATCCAGCGTTAAAACCCTTGTGCTGTTGACAAGAAGTGCCCGAGGTCAGTAGCTGCCATCATTTGATCGTTCTAAGCTCTGTTGTTTCCATAAATATTGACCTGCAAGCCAGTGCTAGCCCAGCTGGAAGTGCAGGGCAAAGTCTCCAACCCCAAACAGCAGGTTTCGTGCCCCAAAATTCACAGGTCGGGGTGACGAAGGCTTCTCAGGCAGATTTCTTGGGATGAGGTCTGGAGCTGTTTCAAGTTGAGTGAAAACCCGCCCACTGGCTTCGGGAGGCTTTGAGTCAGTCCTTGGGTTAAGCTAGAAACCACCTTCCTCTTCTCTAAGGTATGAGCTATTGTTCACTTGACGGCACTGGTTTCCTCTCCATGACAGCTGTGGGCAGATGGGGAAGGGCTTTTAATGGAGCCAACCGCTGCAGAAATTAAAAAGCTCAGGTTGTTCTGATGAAAGAAACCCATTAATAGCGATTCTCTCTTGCGTGACAAAGTCTGACGTCCCCAGCTCTAAAGTGACAAGCGGCAGGAAGTCCTGGGGAGAAAGCCTGAGCTCAAGAGGGTTGGCAGTCCAAGCTGGTGGTTTTTAACTCATTCAATGCCTTGTTTCATATGGTTTGGTGCTGCCAGGTCCCACATGTGGAGACAGGGCAGGATACAGACCAGAGAGGGCCTAGGAGAGCTGGGAATGGTCCTGATCCCACCACAGCATCCTCTGGTGAGGGCTCACCCTAAGTGAGCCCCTGTGTTTGCCTCGACTTGCACTGGCATCAAGTTTTCCACTTCCTTTTTTTAGGATAGGTTTAAGGTTTTGGGGGTTTCATTGGTAATTGCTGGGTCTCCCCAAAAACCAGCCCCTCCTCGAGGGTGTAAGTACAGTGCTGCTGTTTACTTGAGGCTTAAAACCCCCACAGGGCTGTGTCCACGTTCAGACCATGTGGGGACCAGAGCAACCCCAGTGCAGCATGACACAGCCACATGAAGCCCTCAGTTAAGTTGTATGGCTGAATAATCTTTAAAAACACTATCAGCACAGAGATCACTTGATATATTTTTCAGGATTTTCTCTGTCACATGCCAGATACCACCGCAGGATAGGGTTTGTGCTGAGATAGAAGCAGGGAATTTGATTTCCATTAGATTTCTGGGGAACTTGAAGTCCTTTTGGCTCCTCTGCCACGCTCTGCCCAAGGAAAGCGGTTAAAGGTGAAACATAACCCTGTTTTTCTTTTTCTGTGCTTAAAAGTATACTGAAGCAATACAATGTGGACCAAAACAGGACACCTCACTGCACACACTTTTCCCCTGGGGAAAGCACAAATGCCACGTGACAGATGCTGCTCATGGCTCCAAAGGCCTCGGATAATGCAGAGATGCCTGAGGTCTGGGGACACACAGAGATTAGAAGAGATCATTTACAGTGTTGCTGTGAGGTTTCCTTGGTTTACTTCACACAGCAGGGAAAAGACATTTTCAAAACACCGCTGGGTTTTGCTTTCTGCTGGGGTTTGTCCTCAACAAGTTCTGCTCTCTGTTGTCAGCCCGTTTTCCATCGGTTTGGACTTTTACACACCCGGAAGCCTGGGAATTATGGAGTTTGGAGGGGATGGTGGGGCTCACCTGGATGTGGAGCTCACAGAGGAGGGTCAAAGTCCTTCAGAAACTGTGGCAAGGGGTGGTTTGCTGTTGGGACATCCATGGAGCAATGCCATGGCAGGCAGCTCAGCTGGGAGTGTGAGAGCCCCTCTGGAGATCAGGAGACACAAGACATTATTAAAGAGGGGGAAGTCCGGGGACTTCCTGTGACTTTGCTACAAACTGACACGGGGCTCAGGCCACGTAGATGTGAGGGGGGAGGGAGGGAGGGTGCGAGCAAGAGGTGGCTGCGTTTATCGCCTTTTAAACGCGTCACTTCTTAAAAGCCACCAAGAACTGAGCCACTGACTCAGTGGATGTTGGTCCGTAGGATCTGATAAGGCCCAGCTCTCTGAAGCACTGCAGAAGGTTTCTGCCCAGCTCCTCTCCCATCTCCCCAGCGTGTCTGCACACCTCCAGTGCCCCCGAGCCCTGCGCTCGGATTACGCTGGGATGAGGCAGCTGCCACCTTGGGAAGGTCCTTTCATGGCAGGTGCAAAGAGCTGGGGGTGTTGCAGGGCCGCCTGGCTGCGGCAGGTAAAGAGCAAGGAGAATCCAAGGTCTGAACCCCGGCACTGATGTAAAACCGAGGCAGCTCCGGCTTCCCTGGAGCCCCTCCAGCTTTGTGCGGGTGTAACTGAGACTGGAATCGGGCCCAGAGAGAGTGAAGCCGTTTGGTGATGATTAATATAGTAAAATGCGAAAGTTATGTATCAAGTGTATTTCATGCGCCTCTTGCCTCGGGACAATTAGCATAAATTTAATAATTATTGCCCTGTGCCAGCAGCTGCTACCTAAGGAGCTGGGAGTGCTTTACAAACGCTCATTAGCTGCTGCCCTGCCTGGGGGAGGTGGGTGATTAGTCTCCCCGTTTTATGGGTAGGAAAAGAGGAACAGAAAGAAGCAAAGCGAGGTGGCCAAGGTGTGGTACCACGGCTGCTCCCATCCCTCCTCCTGTGCCTTCTCCAGCTCCACTTGGCTCTGACCCCATTGGGTGAGCAGAGCTGGAAGGGGGAGTAGACGAGAGTTTATTCTTTGTGCGCTGAGCAAATGCTGCAGAAAATACTTAAAATTCAATGTTTCCTTTGCTGGTTCCCCATTCACCCTTTTGCCAGGAGATGGGGTTTTTCCTGCCTTGCACATGTCTCCCCTCTGTGTTCAGAGAGAGTGAGGGCTGGTGGAGGCTGGTCACTCAGGCACGGCACAGGGCATCCTGATCCAGGCTCCTTGATCAAAGGCTGACTTGCCGGATGATTTGCGGGATGATCTGGGGCCTCCCACATGGGTCAGTCCGTGTCCCATCTTTGGTGGGCTTCGTTTTCCTGAACCATGAGATCTTCCCCTGTGTGTGTGCTGTGCAACCCCCCTGGTAGCTGATTTTTGCCGGGGCTGCCCCCCGTTCCCCCCATGTGAACATCGGCAAACCGCGGAGACAGAGACTGTGCTGACTCTGTGTGCAACCAAGGTGCTGTAGCCAAAGGGTAACTGATCAGATATCAGACTCTTTTATCGTGTTCCAGGGCACAGACAAAAGCTAGAAGACCAAGCCAAACCCTTCACCGACCGCTACGGGGAGCTGGAACGGCTGCGCCAGTCCATGAGAGTCACCCCGACAACACCCAACCCCCGCGGATCCCTCAGCACCCCGAGCCACTTCGGGTCCCAGGCTCAGACTCCAATACAAGGTAACTGGCTGGGTGCCCCAGCCCGGCGTTACACCCCAAAGCTTCACACTCCCAACACAGCTGGGCAGGGAGCGGAGCCTCCCTGGCTGAACAAGATTCCCTTTGGATGGCCTTGTAGGGCTGGAGTCCGGCCCTTCCCTGGGTGAGGAGCCCTGTGGGGGGACAAGCCAGGGGGAGGTTTGCTTGGATTTCTTGACCTTGGAAGCCTTTTTGCACCCATGATATCACTCTTTGCACCACTAGGCCAGGGCTCTTAGGAAAAACTGAGGAGCTTCAGCAGGAATGCGAGGGAGATCAGAGCAACACACTTTGAACCCAGCAGCTTCTTTGACATGAAGGCACCCACGTTATGGTTATGCATCAACTAGAAAGGGTGTTTTGTACTTTACATGCTAATCCAGATGGTTTCTTATCTTGTTGCATTGTGTTTATGCCAAGTCTGGTGATCACCCAACTGCAGCATAATTCCCCACACGTATGCACACCTGCATGGGCGCACGCGTGCACACACACACACAACAGAGGCTTTGCTCTTCCCATATTTGCCATCAGCCAGGAGCGCCCCGAGTCCTTGGGCGTTCCCCGGGAATCCACACCGCTGCCAGGACAGCAATGGGAATTGCCACTGGTGTTACCCAAGACAGGTCAGTCTGTTAATCCCCATACACCTGAATTTCAGCCCCAAGTTGGAATTATCCGGCTGCCTTGCTGCTCCTGTCTTTGTGCATGTCTCAGCACAGCCAGATGCCACCAGAATGAATTAAGAGAGACCATTCTCCTGTCTGCATGTGAGATGTGCTCCTTTTTCATGCAATTTTAGTCTCAGTGGTGTTTTCCTTTGGAAATCAGCAGAGATACTAACAGGGATTTCAGGAATAGTATTTAAGCTGCCTGCATATTGAGTTTTGATGAGAAGTGGCCCTTCTTGGAAGGTTTCCTATAAAAAGTTCCAGAAGCCTCTGTGTTGCATTTTCAGAAGTGACGTAGATGTTTGAAAACCTCAGTGTCATTGGCAAGGAGGGTGTCTCGGGTGCAAAAACATGTTTGAAAACGTTACTTGAACGGTAAAAGCTGCCCCGCTCCTCCCAACCCAAAATTGCAGTGAAAATTTAATTTATTTCTCATTGAAATGCAAATCTCCATGCTTGGAATTTTCATTGATATTAGCATGGTTTATGAGAAGAACGCGGGCATTTTGTGTAGGATTATCATTTAATTTTTGCTTAAAAAAAACAAGAGAGAGAGAGAGAGAGAAAGAGTTTTCTAGGCTCATCCCGTTGGCTGCGTCATAAAGAAAGAGATTCTTGGGGAAGAAAAAAAGATTTGTATTTTAAATTAGCACAACCCCATGTGGTGCCAGAAACCCAAAGAGCGTCGTTTGGAGCAAGGGATCAGGTGATGACACAAATCCAAGGAGAAAAAAAATGAAATTGGCCACAAGCTGCCGTCCGTGCCAAATTCCCAAATGTCAAGTGACAGCAGGAGTGGAGACACACAAAATTAGCCATCTAAAATCATTCCTGCGGAGTGAATCCAAACTACCAGGAATGCTGCAAAAGGCGGTTCGTGCACGCTCTGCTCTTGGCTCCCTTGTTCCCAAGTTGAGGAACTGTCTTAAAATGACTGTGGGTTCTTACCAGCGTAGCTGGGAGCAGGATCAGCTCAGTATTTTTAATCTCAGCCCTGTCCTTTTGACACAACGCTGGCTATAACCAATCATAATCATAATTTTAAAAAAATACAACCCTCTTTCTCTCGCACACACACACGGCTTATTCACAAAGATCATAATTTTTACCCGAGCAAGTGGAGCCCGGCCCATGCCAAGAATAACACAGGAGTTAACAGGCCTGTAATTCTCACGACTTGGCACGTTCTTGGGTAACACACATGAGAAGCCGATTAGTGAAAAGCATAACGAGATACCGGTTAGGAGGGACAGGCTGGAGTCCATCCGGCCCCCACTATCCTTTATGTGGGTGCTTCCCAACCATAATGTTTTTAGCATCCCCGTGTGGGGATTGAAAGGGGGCCAGAGGAGCAGGTTTTCCCTCCACCGGTGCCCAGCAGCCCTCTGCTCATGTGCTGGAGGTGGTTGGCCTCCCAGTTCTGCTGACCAAGCAGTTTGCACAAATGCTTCCTAATCCGCTTCTGGCGAAACCAGGCTGGGAGCTGAGATGCTCAGAAACAGCCTTGGCCGCTGAGGGGGGATTCCGGCACCTCAAATCCCTGAAATACAGCACGTGAAGCTTGGGTTTTAAGGCAGAAAGGCACGTAGGAGACAGTGTTTATCTTTGGGAGGAACTGGGGTTCTTTGGAGGTGTGTTTGCTCTGGCCTGGTCCAATCTTTCCTCCTCACGAGTGAGGGCCATGGCCAGTGGAGATCACGGCAAGGACGCTGGTGTAAGTGGGAGAAGAGTCTGGCCCTCAGCCATTCGCAGAGGCTTTCAGTAAAGCAGCCCCTGGAGGTTATAAATAGCCCCCATGTAAAATGATCGTCCTGAGGTTAAATGGTCTCAAAACCAAAAACCTCCCGGTAAGAGAAAACTGATTGTTTCTGAAGGACATGCCAGGAAACATGGGAGGAGAGCGTGCGCAGCTCTGTGGCCAAGCAGGTCACATCCTGCTCTTGTGCTGGTTCCCCATGCCCAGCATCAGGGTATCTCAGTGGCTTCAGCCTTGCCTTGTCCCGCTCAGATGAGCAGAGAATCCATCCCTTCCTACGCCTGTCCCCAACAGAATTGACATTTACAACCCTCCACACACCAGATTTCATTCCCACTTGCACTGCTTTGGTGGGTCAATAGGGTAATTCTGGGTTCAAACCGGTGTGGCTGTGATGACAGTCTGGCCCAGTAGCTGGGCAGACCCTCATCATCATCCAGCACGGCTTCCCTGGCTTCAGCCGAGCAGAGCCGTTTGCCTCTGTTGAGGATTTGGCCCAATGCTTCTCCAGTGAGGTCTGGAAAATCCGAGGTTTTGAAATCCCAGCTCTGCCATCTCCTCAGCGAGACACCAAGCTGTCATTAGGATGGCTCGAAATGGTTCCTTATTACAGGGCACGCAGAGCCAGAGCCTTGCGCACTCGCCTTATTCCGAGTTTCACCTTCTAGCTTAAAAAAATCAAGTAGCTCCCAAAAGCGAAGTAAGATGTTAAAGGAACTTGCTTCTGTCTGCCTTCAGCTGCTTCTCGGGGCCCCCTTGCTCTGGGGAGGCAGGATGGTGACAGACACACGTCCTCCAGGGGAGAAGCCCCCGGTTCTCCGCGCGGCGCTTCGCCCTCGCCAGTGTTTCTGCAGCGGTTCATGCTGAACCATTTTATTCCCACCGCAGCAGAGCAGGACCGCCCACACAGCCGGGCCTGTGTTCTCACTCTGTGGTGGAAACATCTTCAATCACTCAAAAGCAATTGTGTGCATTGTCCAGCAACATGTAGGGGCCTTGCGTACACGAGGACAATTGCAAAGTGATTTTAAATTTGATCTACTCGGTACCAGAGCGAGCTGTTTTCATTAATGCACTTAACGTCCCCTTGCTCCAGCGAAACCAAACTCCCTTGACTTCACAGAGAGAACAGTAAACTCTGGATCCTTTTGCATGCTCCGTCCTGCCTCTCCTAGCTTTACTGTCTGCTCAATGGTTTTCGGGAGACGTGTTTGCTGGTGAAGAGCTTCAGCTCTCCTGATCTGGAAACTGCTCAGCTTTAACCAGCTTCACTCCCAGTCCATTACTTAGGGCCAGTCATCAGCGGAATGCTTCATCGTATGCATTTAAAGTAAAATCTCTCTCTCTCTTTTGCTTTTTAAATATACAGTTTTAAAGTATTACATTACTTTTAAGAAGCCTCTTGGCATAGGCAGCGAGTGCCCTATTGTTTCCGAAATGCAACGTGGCTGCTCTGAGGTTAAGTCCTGAATTATGGGCCCAGCAAATACACTGAATTGCTGCTTCCTAATCCCTGTCCAGATTGACTTATGGTTTCTTTAAAATATCCGTTTCTTAATGGATAAAAACATTCTACCATGGGCAGAGACTAAATTGTTTCCAAAGGAAGCTAGGCAAGCATTAGTGGGAAGAAAACATATTGTGGGATTCAGCTTCAGCCTCAAAGGAAGGAACACGCTCAAGATGGGTTTCCTGCCTGCTTTCAGGCTTCTGTGTCTATCTTTAAACTGCTTTTCTGCTCCTTTCATTTACGCTTGCGATGTCCCTTAGATGAATTTGGTGTGTAACTGTCAAAGATGAACCACAGACTGGTGCTGGACAGGAGCTTCCCCCGAGAGAGAGCTCAGGCACCCGTGACCGCTGCGTTTGCCGCTGACGTGCAGCCGCCTCGGTCTCCCAGCCACAGCTCAGGGGGCTGAAGTGCTGCAGTTCCCACAAAATAGCAGATGAGATTACAAGGAGCCCTGCTGCATTTGCCTCAGGCTCCAGGGGTGCCATCCTGCCTCTGGCACGGGATTTTCGGATGTGCTGGGATCCGCAGAGTGCAGGAGGGGAGCCCCCAGCCCAGGGTGCTGCTGCAGGAGGGCAGTGCCCACATTACAGGGATGTTGCTGCAGCGCAGCCCAGCACAAACAGGGCTGGATCCCCCTCTCCCAACACCCCTCAGCCTCCCTTGTCAGTGGGTTTCCCATGGCAGACTTGGCCTGGTCTAAACCTGCTCGGCAGGCAAGGTGGTCTAGCTGCAGGCTGGGTTGTAAATTCAGCAGCTTCCTTTTATGTAGTCAGGGCTTGTTAATTTTTTTTTAATACCCTTTGAATACAGGTAAAGAGCAAAGCGCAGGCAGGCCAGAGGGAGTGGCTGCGATCACGGGAGCGTTTCCCGTTCAGCCCACCCACCCGCTCCAATTAGCACCGTTAGCTTATTCATTAGCTCTGCGGGATGGAGCGGCGGGAACGGAGCCTGGTGCAGGACAGGGGGATGCGGGCAGAGGGCTCTGGGATGGTGAGAGGAAGAGAGAGGCTGTGGCGGGAGAGGAAGCATGGAGAGCTGGGCT